TTCACATATACACTGATAATCCTGCATTTCTATTTTCAGGCTCCACCTCCCTAAAATCTCAAATTTCTAACATGCTGCTAAGCATCTCCATTTGAATATTTTGCAGAAATTCAACATGTCCAAATGCCCAAAGGTAGAATGTAGTACTTTTTCCTGTCCTCCACATCTAACCTGCCCTCCTTTTAGATATCCCGATTCTGGGTAAGAAACTTGGGGAGTGGGAATCAGCCTCAGTTTCTCCTCTTGGCTGCCTGTTCATTTTAGCTTAAATGGCTTTTTTCCCCCCCTACTAGCCTTTATGAAAGTATTTATCTTGCTGAACTGTAATTATTGATTTATGTGACTGTTTCCCAGAAGAGGCTGTGAACTGCTCATAGGCAGGAAGCATGTTTTATCATCTTTATATCCCGTAGTATGTACAGGCTGCCATGCCCGTGTAGCAGACACTCCACTCTTCACTGAACAACAGAATACCAAAAATAATGGTTCTTAAATGAAATATAGGTCTGTGAAATTATAGGAAAAAGTATACATTTATTTCATAGATATACATGTGTGCATGTATACATATATGTTGGTCTCTGCCCGCCCCCCCCCGCCCCGTTCCCAAAACCCTTATAATTTCCCAACTGATAAGAGCACAAGGAGCATCTTTTGTACTGATATTTGGCCTTCGAACCAGGTTCCTGATCCTGAATCCTTTGGAGTTTCCTGAGTGATAGGAGAGTCTTTTGTTCTACTGAAGCACCCCCCGGCGGGCTCCTGAATGGGGGCTGGTCACCAGGAACACCAAGCTGTGACTAGAAACTTGGAACTTTCATTCCTCCATCCTCCAGGAAGGGGAGAGGGGCTGGAAATTGAGTTAATGACCCATCATGCCTAAGTGATGAAGCCTCTATAACAAAACAAATCATGGTTGTGCAGAGAGCTTCTGGGTTGGGGAACACATCTGCATGCCAGGGAGGGGGCACACCCCAACTCCACGGGGACCAGAGAAGCTCTCGTGCTTGGGACTCTTCCAGATCTTCGCTTTTGTATCTCTTTGTCTGGTTGTTCTCTGTATCCTTGATCATATTCTTTATTACATAATAAACTGGTAAAGGTAGGTGTTTCTCGGAATTCTGTGAGCTGTTCTAGCAAATAATTAAATCTAAGGGGGAGAGGGTCATGGGAACCTGTGATTTTTGTCCAAGTCTGACAGAAGTTGTGGGTAACCTGGAGAACAGCTACTTGCAATTGGCATCTGAAGTGGGGCGGGGGGACAGTCTTGGGGGACTGAGCCCTTAACCTGTGGGGTCTAAGCTAATTCAGGGTATTGCCAGAATTTAACTGAATTGTAGGACACCCAGATGATATCACAAAGGATTGCTTGGCATAGGGAAAAACTGGTGTCAGAAGTGTTGTGAGCGTGGCGGCAGTAACGTGAGTAAAAGAGACACACACAGGAGGAGGGAGTTTTTCTTAAAGAGGAACTGGATTTTCTACTATCTAAGGCAAACATTCACACTTTTAGTCTTCTGATGATAAGACACTAAATTGTTTGGCTTCTATTTAACAGAGAAGAGTTAAAAAAAATCTTAGTCTGTTGTTCAAAAGAAATCTTCCTCTGAAGCCCACTGCATTGTAAAATCAATGAGTGAGTGACTGCCATAGTTGCCCCCACAGCTCAGTCCTCAATTTCCCAGAGTACGTATAATAGGATGAGTATATATAATAACAGAATATGACAAAGATGGTCTACGAATCAGATTTGGGCCTCTGGCCTCTATCCTGAAACTTGCATTTTATTCCTACTCCCAAAAAAGGGGGATCATGAAGTCGCCTAGCTTCTTTGTGTCCAGTTTTCTTTTGCAAAGGAATCTGTCTGTTATTTAGCAAGAGTATAAAAGAATATTATGAATCTTTTATTTTTCTTATTTAAAAGGTTCTCAGGCTCCAGGTCTAAGCACTCCACGGTGAAATTCTCAAAACTTTAAGACTTAAGTTTCTTCTACATGTTTGGTTTAACTAAATGTTTGGGTGAATTAAATGTCTGGTTCACCCCAGATAAACTCACGCTATATAAAAATCTGCTACAGCAGGTTTTGTTGTGTAGCAAGACTCTATTTTGTTAAAGTATTCTGAAATTAAGCATAAAATCAACTAGGCAGTTCCTGAAACACATGAGGCCTCAAAGAAGGGGGACTTTTACACTCCAAAAAATTTTTACTATTAATAAGGCTTGGGGGTAGGCATTCTTAATTTTTGCTTACAAGCTGGGAACTCAAACTCATGCTGCTAATCATGTGATGTTGTGGAGAAGAGTTTCCTGCATAAGGACAGCTACTGAATATAATACTGAATATTTTAAGTTTCAAAAAGAAGTTCAAATAAAATAATATATCGATTGAAAACATGATTCATTACAAGATTATTCCATGAACACAATAGAAAATATCAACCCTAAACAAAAACCCAAGCTGCATTTACAGTAAGCTTTCTGCTTCTGAATATACAACACACCATCCGCCTCTGTCCCAGGATGCTTGCTTGCTTCAGGCAATCTGTGGGCCTGTCCCAGGGCTTTCCACACAAAGCCATCCAGGAAAGGGTCCCCAGCTGTCACAAGGTGAAATAGGATTCCACTTACCCAGTCCTTTGACAAACTTCATAAGGCACATGATGTAACTAGTGGCTGCATTAGCAAAGACCTGGATGTTGTCAGTGTTGAGAAACGCTTCAAAAACATCGAACACCGGAGCTTGGCATTTTCCTAAGGTGGGGAAGAATGTAGAATTTTAAGAAAGTTAAATCTCTATCCTTTGGGTTGCCTGTATTTCCAGTACCTTCCATGGGGCCTTGGGGAAAATCTACTGGAGAAAAGCCAGGGGCATTTGAATGGACAACCGGCTTGGCTCCGATGCTGTCCTTCTCAGCTTTACCTGCAGGGGGAGCTGCAGGAAGGCTATGAAAATTGCTCAGTAGAGATGAAGGCCAAGCTGGCTGGCTGAATGCTAGGCTGAGGCAGTATGTAGGTCTAGAGGGGCAGTGAATTATCTGGGCCTCTGGGATTCTCCTGCACACATAATTATAGGGAAGGGAAGGTTTAGATAGATCCCTGATGGCATATATTAATTTATTCATACCTGTGTAGAAGAGAATTAATACAGAGGGCCTGAGACTCTGATCCTCAGAAAGGTCTGCTTACAAGGTTGGCTGGTGCTTGGCTGGCATGTGAAAACGTGGCCCTTGGAATGTTTCCAGGCAACAGTTAACTGATAAGTGTGGTTCGCTGTGCTGAGACTGTTTGTGCAAACAGTGTGGTTTATTCTGAACACCTGCCTTTCCTTCTAGGAGTCTGGAATTTTGGTATGTGCTAGGCAGAGTAACAACGTGACCAGCCCTCAGCTGGGTCTCTAATGGGCTTCGCTGTGCAAACATCATACACATGTTGCTGCATTTTTACTGCTGGGGGAAGAGTGTGCTCCAGGGGACCCCTCGTGGGAGGGTGAGGGCACAAGGAAGCCTGCCCAGGGATTCCTACAGAGTCTGTCTGTATCTTTTTTCCTTATGATCTGGCTTGTCCGTACTACGTTGCCATAATACATCTTAGCTGTGAGCCATGTAATAAATCTCAGTGTAACTATATGCTGAGTCCCATGAGTCCTTCTGGTGGGTCTCTGAATGTAGGAGTGGTTTTGGGGACCCTGGACGCAACACCCCTGGCTAATGGGCAAGCTTTATGGGTGCTCCTCCATTTCCAGCCAGACCCAATCTCCCTTATTTGAATCCCCCTGTGTAATGATAGTTTTCTGCTTCTTACTAGCAAGCAGATAACACTTTTTCTTTTTGGCTTTAGGAATAAACTCAATATAGATATGCAGAAGTGAAACAACAGAAGTCTCTCAGCCTTTTGTCCAACCTGTCAATAAGAGCAGGGCCTGATAACACTCAGGGCTCTCGGCCTGTTGGCAGAACTCGGAACTTGTGGCCCTGCTACGCCAGATTACTTCCTGAATCCTGCTGATAAAACAAGGGTGGATGTCAGTCTCCCTTATTGTTCAATCTCTTTTGATGGCGTGAAACTTGGCATAAAGAACTGATGCTCCATAGCGAGAATCAGCCACACATCCTTCCCACTCTCACCACTCCTATTCGGTCCTCACCAGAGCAATCAGGCAAAAGAAAGAAACACAGGGCATCCAAGTTGGAAAAACAGAAGTTGTCTCTGTCTGCAGATGACTTGCTTACATATAGAAAATCCTAAAAGACTACCCGAAACAGTCAGAACAAATATACGAATTCAGTGAAGTTTCAGGATATAATACCAATACAGTCTTACCCATGGAGTAATCGCCGACGAGGTACTCCTTCACCTCAGACTTGTTCCCGCCGTGCACTGTTTCTAGGGCACTGAACAAGGGCCTCCATCCTGACTGGATTTGGGTGGAACACACTTCAACCAGCTCACCAATGGATGTGACAACCTGGCAGGGGCAAAGGAGGTAGCGCTTACAATCCTTTCTTAAAAGAGGCAGGAGAATTTCTGGAAGGGTGTTGTACTTCACTGCTCCCTATTTCTGGGTTAATTTTAGGAAAAGAGAAAAAACGGAACCCAAACTCACACAAAAATCTTCTAAAAATCAGCCTTGTTGCATTAATTTGCATTTTACTAATGAATGACTAATGTTGCTGAGCAACTTTTCACATGCTTAGCCATTTGTAATTATTTGCTGTTTTTTTAGATTAGGTTTTTATCTTCTCATTACTGTCTTTTTATTATTTTTAGTTCATTATGTATTCTAGATTCAAATCTTTCTGCGATCTGTAATTTGCAAATATTTTTCCATAGCCTGGGCTTTTTACCTGAGGATGCCAATTTATCGAATTTTGTTATCAAATTTTACTGTGGTTTTCAGTGTACAGGTTGAACTTCTTTTGCTAGATTTATTCATAAATATTATATTATTTTTGATGTTCTTGTAAATGGAATTACTCTCTTAATTTCAATTTCAAGAGCACAACATGTGGACTGCTTCATGAATGCGCACAGCTTCCTTGCACAGGGGACCCGGTGATCGTCTCTGTATTGTTCCAATTTTAGTATGTGCTGCGTGCGGAAGCAAGCACCGTCCGTTCCTCTTTTTATGGATCATGCTGGTGTCATTTCTAAGAAATCTTTGCCTAATCCAAGGTCTCAAAGATTGTCTCCTATACTTTATTCTAGAAACATTTATCGTTTTCACTCTTATATTGAAGTCCATGACCCATACTGAATTATTTTTTGTGTAGGTTGAAAGGTAAAAGTGTAGATTATTTTTATTGCATATGTTCAAGCACTATTTGCTGATAATAATATCCTCTCCCATTATCGAACTGCAGTGGCACCGCCGTCAAAAATTAATTGGACATAAATGTGAGGATTTATTTCTGTTCTACTTAGTTCCATTGATCATACCACACTGTATTGATTACTGAAGTTTTGAAATCAGGTAGTGTAAATTCTCCAAATTTGTTTTTTTTTTTCAAATTTGTTTTCTCTTTTCTTGATCCTTTGTCCTTGTATATAAATTTGAGACTCATCTTGCCAATTTCTTTTAAAAGTCTGCTTGGATTTTGATGGGAATTGCACTGAATCTATACATCAATTTGGGGAAATTTGCCATTCAAAAATACTGAGTTTTTCAATCCGTGAACATAATATATGTCATAATTTATTTAAATCTTCTTTAATTTTTCTAGCAATGTTTTGAGGTTTTCAGTGTACAGGCTGAACTTCTTTTGCTAAATTTATTCCTAAATATTATATTATTTTTGATGTTCTTGTGAATGGAATTGCTCTCTTAATTTCAATTTTTAATAATTTATTTCTCAGATATAAGCATTCCATTTATTTTAGCATGTTAATTTTTTCTGGCTTTATTGAAATATAATAGACAGTTGCTCGTATTTACATTGTACAATTTAATAAGTTTTTTTTTGTTTATAGTTGGCATACAATAATATATTAGCTTCAATTGTATAGCATAGTGATTAGAGATCTATATAACTCACAATGTGATCACCTCACTAAATTTAGTACCCCTCATCCCCCTTACATATTTATTACAACATTGCTATTTTCCTTATGCTACATTTTATATCTCCGTGTGTTTTGTAACTATTCATTTGTACTTAATCCCTTTGCCTTTTTTCTAGCATGTTAATCTTATATCCAGTGACCTCGTTAAATTCACTATTAATTCTAGTGATTTTTAAAAATCCCTTAGGATTGTCTATGTACAAGACCATGTTGTCTATAAACTAAGACAGTTCTACGTTTCTTTTCAAATCTGGATGCCTTTATTTTATACAATGAATAAGTTATAATAGTAAATAGAAATATGGAAGATGGAAATCCTTGTCTGATTCATGATCAGAGGGAAAAACCATTCAGTCCTTCACCGTTAAGTGTGATATTAGATGTAAGAATCTGAAAGATGCCCTTTATTCAATTGAAGAAATTCCCTCTATTCATTTCTTGAAAGTTTTTATTAAAAATTGGTGAATTGTGCACTGATACTTCCCTGTTGTTTTTCTTTTCTCGATTTCATTGGTTTCTGATCTGGTTCCTATTATTTCCTCTTATCTTCTCTGGATTAGCTCTGATAGTGTCTTGAGGTGAAAGCTTAGATTGATTTCAGGTCTTCTGTTCTAAAGCGAGCATCTATAGTTATAATTCTCTCTGCATTTCATAAATTTTGCTGGATTCCATAAACTTAGATATGTAGTATTTTCATATTCATTCACCCAAGATATTTTCTAATTTTCTTTGTGATTTCTTCTTTGACCTTGTAATTTCTCCAAGAATGATTTAGGATTCTGTTGTTTGGTTTCCAAACATTTGGACATTTGTAGCAATGCCGGATTCTGATTTATTTTTCTGAACTTTTTTTTTTAACTAAGTTGCTTGGATGTACACTGTGAAATTTGTCTCTTCTCATAGTGTGAAGTGACAATGTCTTTGCTCAGTTTTTTATTTTTTAGTCCAACTTCCCAGTGTTTGCCCCCATGTCTGCACAAGTTAGTGATCAGCTGATAATGTGGGCAGAGTTTGTGCTCAAACACTTTGAGCCTCTAAGACTTCCAACCTCTGCCAACCAGTCTGCGTGTGTAGGCTGGGGAGAAGATTCAAAGTTCAGCCAGTTCTTAAGTCTCCCTTGTCTTTTACTTTCTGATGGGCTCTGAATGGTCCATCCTGCATATGTCCGTGTTTCAATCAGCCAGAGATGTGTGAGAAACTTATCTACGAATCTCTGGTTTCCAGGGTCTCATGTTCCATTTCTTACTGGTTCACTGCTCACTGCAACCTCAGGCTAACAAAGTTGCAGGATTCTCTCATTCATTTCCTAATAATGAATTCACTACTTTTAGGTGACCAATCAATCTTTTTTGTTCTTCTCCAAACCAGGCCTGTCCCTTACAGCAAAAAAGCTGATGGTTTCATCAACCAGCCCCACACTGATCAAACTACTCTTCTTGTCAAAAGCTTAGAAGTAAGGGTGATGGGTGCACTCTTCAGCAAGGTCACAGATTCCCACTGTTTTTAACCAAAGTTCTAGCAAGAACTATTTTTCATCATAAATGCTACTCAATTTGTTGTCTGCCCTTGGTCAATTTCCAGAGCCCCGAAATAGTAGCTTTTGACAATTTAGTCCTGTTTTATACTTGATTCTTGTGAGGATTCACTAACTTCTTCATGCCACCATAGCCCCTCCCGTCCTAAATCTTTCTGAACGCATTTAAGCATAGTTATTGTAAAGACCGTGTGTGTGTGTGTGTGTGTGTGTGTATTTTTACTGTATTTCTTTTTAATGGCATATTATTTCCTAATGAGCCTGATTATTTTTGATTGAATGCAGACATTGTACCTGCAAATAAGAACTAATTTGAAGCTTGGGATGTCATCTTCTGTAATCTCAAATTAAGGATTGGGATTATTTGAAGTTGGGGATTATTTTCTGTTAGGACTAGTCTATTTAAGGTTCACCCATCCTCCTAGATGTCCTATTCCTTTTATGATTCTGACCTAAGATGTCAGGAAGTTACCAGACTGGCAGGCCCCAGACTCTAATTTTTCATAGCTTCTTAGTCTTTCAGATTCCTCTTCTGAAATTAGTACATTCCATTTTAGAAAAAGCAGCCCCAAACACCAGGCACAGCATCTGATTATTTTTTTCTCCTAGATCATGGCCTCAAAGTTATTCTTTTTTTTTTTTTTTTTGTAATATTTCAATGCCTTTCAGTGATTAAAAATTTTTTTATCCAACTTGTTCTAGTTGTTCCTCTATAGGAGAATGATCTGAAATATTTAGTTCACTATTATTAGAATCCCCAACCTAGCCTTTAGGTATTAACTCATATTTTCATTCCTTTCATTTCATTAAAAAATTATTGGATATTTTGCATGAAGGACATCAATACTTCAATTATATCTCGGTCTGGCTGTGCCGTCTTGTTGTTTCAGCAGTTCCCTGATACTGCCTTGTTTCCCTGTGTGTACTATGACTTTTTAAAAAAAATACTGTGAACTCACATATCTTAGAACTTTATTTGTGAGATTTTGTTTTGGTGGACCAAGCTGAAATGAGTTCCTCTAGGGCAGATTTTGTTGTTTCTGTACAGTGTGCCCATGTGAAGTTTCTCAGCCCACCGAGGGGGTACAATTTCATACACTGACCCCGTAGAAGGGCTAGATGGTCATTTTCATAATGGAGAGTTATTTTTCATCTCCACTAAGAGCCAATGTTAGAAACAGGCTAATAGTCCACTCACGAATGCTGGTACTCGGGTTCATTTCTAATTCACCCTTGGCCTGAATGTGCACCAATTTTATAAGGTTTGCTTTGAGATTTGTCTCCTGTTCTTGAGGCCTCAAGAATGTGATAGGAGAACTCAACTTCACCTGATGACAAATTCTCTCATGGCAAAAAAAAAAGAAAAAAAAAAAAGTCTTAGACCTCTGCTTACTTCTCTGGCTTCCCATCATTACTTAGTTTGGGGCATCTTACTATTCTCTACATTCTTGCCCGGGTGTCAATGTACTTTGAAGGAATTTAAAAATCTTTAACATTTTTAGTGGATTTCAGAAAGAGGACCTGTGTTCCTAGACCACCTTCACGCTAGTTGTGAAGTCTCAGGTAGTTTCCTAACACCTGTCTCCCAGCAGGGGGCATACATGGTAGTGGTTAAGAGTACAGGCTGAGTAGAAGAGTATAGGCCAGTATAGTCGGATTGCCTAGGTTCAAATCTGAGTCCCACCAATCACTGATTATGCATCCTTAGCTAAATGGCTTAATCTTTCTTTGTCACAGATTCCACATAGGTATTACTAAAAGATGAAATATGCGAAGGTCATAGAACAATGCTTGCCAGGACATTCAATAAGAGCTAGCTGATGAGGATGACATTGATTACTATGACACACTGACCTGGTCTTGGACATCCTCATCACACAACTCCAGCTGCATAATGCGCTCAAAGGGTCGGAAGAGTGCTTCATTAAAGTGAAAGTGAGGTGGCTCATTCCAGTCAGTGAGAACCTCGGTCAGTATATCGTGGATGAAAGAAACAGCCTTCTGAGACACATGTCTTTCCTTATGGCAGGCAGCCTGCAAAATTCATGAGAGAGCAGAACACCATCAGGACTTCAGGCAAGTAAGAATCTGGTTTCTGAAGGTTTTCCTACCCCATCTCATTATAGCGAGGCGGAAGCAGCAATTGTTAAAGTCAAAAATTTCAAGGGATATATATATAGATGAACAGCACCTAAACTGCATTTTTAATAGTTTAACCAACAGACCAGACAACTCCAATTTCACTTTAATGTTTCTAAAAAAATAGTTTCTAGTAATTTCTCTCTCTTTTTCTTTTTTTCTGTAACATGACAGTTTTCTCAGGTGGTATAAAACGTGCTGACTCTAAAGACAGTGGAACTGTCCATGCTCTCATTCTTGGCTGCACTCCAAACACATAAAGATCATATGAATCATTTGTTCTTCAATGAGGTGGACCAATTGCACCAGTGAAGCTCTAACTGGTTCACAGCTCCTCGTACCCATGCCCTTTCAGTAGTTTTCTCTCAC